AATCAATGAGTTAATTCTTTTATTCTTAACTTTCGATAAACTATTTCTAAACTTTAATTATCAAAGTTCTTGGTATTGTTCTCTATGAATCTAATTTGATTTCTTATATTTCAACGGATGACGATTTGAGTCTTTGAATGTTTAAGAAGATATATTCATGAAAAACTCAAAAAACAAAACTTATTAGAGACATAAGTGTATTGTTTCTTATAATCAAAATAAGTGGAGCTATATTGAATCATAAGTCAACATGTACTTGTTACAATTTCAAAAAGAAAAACAAAATATGAACAAAGGTCGAGCAGAGCCTAATCTAGGTCCGTAGCATCAACAGGATCGTCATGATCGGGAGTTTCGACCTCAGCAGCTTCTTCTTCCTCCGCCTCCGACATTGAAAGCTCGAGCTCATTGGCAAGCTCGTTGATCGACTTCAGATCCTCAGTGATAGGCTTCGAGTGGCAGCTTGGTCCTCAGAAAAAGATCGGGCCAGTTTTAGACCATAATGGTAGGACCCCGAATCATATTGCCTTAGCAGCGTCCCGAACTCCTCAAATTCTTTAAACTCCCCAACTACTTGAGCTTGAGCTTTCCTTAGCTAGTCCTCGAACTCATTTTTAGCATGAATAAGTTCGAGATTGCCCTCCTCGACCTCATATTTGGCCACCCCTATATAATCTTGAGCTTTTTTTTTATCTCGACCTCTAGTTCTCGAATTCTCTTGTCTTTTTCCTAGTTCTGTGTCTCGAGCTCGACCACTTTCATCGATGTGCCCGGCTCTTCATAGTCAAACCCCGAACTATGCTCAAGGTCTAAAAGATAATGAACAGTTAATATCATAGGGAATGATAAAGAATACAAAAACTAGTTTAAGGTCGAGTCCATACCTTCAGCGTTATGAGCTCAAATGCCATCACCCCCTCACCAGGCTTGACCTCATCTAAGTATTTGTTCACTAAACTCGGAATGAGGGAGGCATCGAGCATGTTCCTACAACATCGAGTTCGATAGAGGTGGATAATCCTCTAAGTCCACTATCTCCAGTGTGGTGCGATGAGTGGAAGTACGAACTGATGTTTTAGGATATGGTTCTGGTAGAGGGCTGGGCTGCTCGATGTTTGCCCAATCCCACTAGGGATCTTGCTCGAGGCTCCCTTTCGAGCTCGTTTTTTCTGCTTCGACGGGGCGGTACTTTAGGCTTTAGGCCCTTTACCTTGTGATGCATGTTCACTAGAGGCTTGGGGGGATTGAAAAACATTTCCAAATCTGCAAAAATTAACATGGTATTAGCTCGAAGAAGTTAAAACAAAACAGTAAGAGTTAAGGCTCGTACCCTCAATTTTCCTCACGTTGGCGAGATCGAGGGTGTCATCCTCAAATAAATAATCAATTCTGGCTACAAGAGGGTCATGATTCACTAGCCTCAACCTATCTATCTCCAAAATCTCAAAGTATGCCTGACTTTCGTTAAACTTATCATTATCAGAGATCTCCCACCTCGGGCTAAATGGATAGTCGGGGTCTTGAGGTTTAACAAAAAAGAAACCCACTTTCCAACCCCGGAGAGAGCTCGGTATTTCTAGTGTCCTAAACCCCCCCTTGGTGGATAAATACACAAAACAGTTGTACCCCTGCAAGAACTTCAAATCAAAAACCATCCTCAAGAAGTCAATCATGGGATTTTCCTCGAGGCATCTACATAAATTAAAAAAGTAAACCAAGAGCCTCCACCTGTTAGGGGCTAATTAGCCCGGGCATATAAAGAAATATGCTAGGAAGTGGATAAAGAACAGGTGAAGATGCCACATAAGCCCTGCCTTAAGGGCATCCCTAAAGAAATTCATCTATCCCTCTAGAGCATCTACTACTGTTTCATGGGGCTCGAGAGTCCTAACTTTTATAACCACGTGTTCTTTGTACTTGGTCGTTCCTCAGGTTATGTCAAAATTGACTTGACCTTGGGGTGCAAGGCAATAGGTACGACCATAGGGATGATGGACTCACCTTCTACCTTGGGACTCCTAGTGGTTGAATTCGTAAAAGACTGATTACTGATATTAGTCTATCCCTCACTGCTGCTACTCAACATTATACTACTTATAATAAATAACTTAAGAGCTTGAACACTTACCTCTTAAAGTGGTTGTTCAAAAAAAAAAAATTCTAAGCCCCGAACTCGAATTGCTTTTATTGAGAGTTGAGAGTGAAAATGTGAAAAATGAGGTGTGAAAAAGGGGTATTTATAGGGCTCAAAGGAAGATTAAATGACGTACAATCCTAACCCTTGGATCATGCAACGTGTCTTACATCCAAGGTCGCTCATCTTCTGCCCTACATGCATCTGACGTATGTCAAACACATAGCTGTTACGCTCAAATAGCTCAATAAGTTCGACCTCGGGTTGTTGCACCTCGTTGCATCTCAACGCACAGCTTGAGTACGTAACTTTTAGCTGCGACCTAGATGAACGGGGGCCTATGATAAGTAGTAATGCATTATATCCGAGCTCAAGCTAATTGCCCGAACATAACCTACCTCAAGTATGCCACTCCAAGATCGGGGTCCATGTGGAGGTCGGGGTTAATCGAAGAGGTCGGGCTTGTGGTACTTTTACCGAGTCTCCTTGCCCTTATCTCAGGTTTCCTAAGAATGTTAATCATATTCTAACTACAACTCCCCACTTTTCCTATTTACTAGTGTACGCACGTGCGATGCACGTGTTACAGTTTTGTTGGGTATTTAATAGCGTTGAATGATTTTAAAGTATTTTTCCGATGGAAGAGATATTCTTCCTAAAAGTTCACAGTGTGGCAATCATTCGTTAACAGTATGACAATAAAAAATGTGACCTACAAATTAGATATAGAAATTTGACGCAAAACTTCCAAATAAAGAATGAGCTTAAAAAAAAAAAATCAAGCAACACATTTAAGCATGCAGATTTACCTTGCTCATAAAGAAAGCGGTAGAAAATATTAACTGCCAACGTATGGAAGTAAATCCTAACTCATTGCTAACGAAATGGTTTTTCTTTTCCACTATAAACAGGTAACATTCCCGTTATTACAATTTTTCCAATGCCATAACTATATTTTAAAATCCAACTCAAAAAATCATATACAAGACATTATAAAAAGGACCTTGCTGCAAAATTCCTGTACCTGCCAGAAAACACACAATAGGGGGTGGGTGGGGGGAGTTTTGGCAATTTTTTAATCACGTGGGGCCCACTCCCATGTGAGAGAAACTTTGAATTCCTGTAAGAAATCTGCGAAATTCATCTTGTACTCAAAGCATTTTTCTTATAAAAATGAAACATTGCTCTTAACCAACGAACAATATATACATACATTAGCATGTGAATAAAAATATCTACTCAACTCCCATTGGTTATAGCAATTGCAGGACTTGAAATCACTGTCAACTAAGATGAAAACAAAGAAATACTTGTTTAGTCAAATTGAATAGAGGCACCGATTCACCAGTTTGTAGGCTAAAAAGCATCGCCAGTTAACAATTACATATCAATGCCAGAA